GGGCGGGGTGGGGGAGGCACTGCGGAGTGGTGGGGGGCGGCCCGAGGGGCTGGGAGAGGGTCTGGCCCACGCTGCGCCTGGGCTGGGACTGGTCCCGCCGTCCTTATGTTTTATCTTTAGACTGGGCTTTGTTAAGTCATCCAGGTTGGCTAAGAAATTGTAGTTTTCTTGCTTCAGCATCCCAAATTCCTGGGATTATAGGCATGCAGACACCACTCCTAGAGTTTTTATTCTTTTAGTATTTTTCTTGTAATTTACAAACATAAGAACTATTTGCTCATGGACTATGCAAAAACAGTATGCTGGATTTCACACAATCTGCAGTTTGCTGACTCTTGCTCTGATTTGCTCTTTGTTCATATTTAGTAGTAGTATATGTTGTTGTGAAAAGTACACTTTAGAATCAGTCTGTACCAGTTTTCTAGGTAGTTGTTCTTAAGGCTTATTGCTTATTAAAATAATTTTTTAATTTGATCCATTGACTTTTACTTTGTTCCATCATATCTAATTTGGGCCACTATAATTATTGCCTTATAATTTTGTTTTTAGTCTTCACATTTTACTATCTGTACAGTTTTCTAAAATATAAATGAAAAAACTGGATTAAAATTGTTATCTGGCATACTTGGTGCTTTAAAATGACTAATGGTGCAGGCTGAGAGGTTGTATTGCCCACAATTAAATCCCTGTACATGCTAGCCATGGCCCCCGTCACAAGTGGCTTACTTGCTCTAAGCCCCTATACCCTAATTATATAAATTGTAGATAATTATAGCACTCTTCTCATACATTCATTTTGATAATTGTGAGTGAAAGACTTAATATTTGATAGTACCTAACATAATTATTCAAATATTAGCTACCACTATTATTAATATTCTTAAATTTTATCTACCTTTTCAGACCTCTTCTGTCATTGCTCATGTATTTATACAGGCCATCTTCTTGATCCCTAATTTGCATTTAATGAGTTAGTTCAAGGGTACAGTATTCCCATTCAGAAGGGCTTTTCTCTCCCTTTAAACTTCTTCCATATTAGACAGAACTACCCAAAGGCTGGGCACCATATCTTTTAAATTCTGTATTTTCCCTATACCTTACACAGAGTCTCAAATCCATGTACATAGTTAGTTGTGGTTGAATCTGGATTGGACTACAGCTTCTGTAGACAAAAATTAATTATTGTGTATGGACTATAACTTCAAAGTATTGGTTTTATTGATCCCTGAATTGGAGCATGATAGTTTCAGTATTTCCTAAATGAATATGGTTGTGAAGAACCCACACTTTAATGTTTAAATCAGTTAATTATTTTGGACATTTATTCCTAACAGTATTCTCTTTTCTAATTTATTTTAGATTCGTTAAGATTCAAAATTCCTACTTATCAAACAACCAAAGGGACAAAATCTGTTGTTGCTGTGGCACAATCCAGTTTGACCTTCATAAAGCCATTGAAAACAGGCATGTGTTCATTATATTTTAACTGTCTGAGAAGTTGAATGGAATGAAACATTAACCCAGTTCTAATGGAAACAAGTTCATTTTTTTATGTGAATAAAGGTTATAAAGAATTGTTCAAGTTTGTATTCAAATTAAACAAAGATACTCTATCAGTCTTTACTGAAATTGACTTATAGTGGCTTGGGATATTTAAACAACCCGGAAATATTGCTGTACTTTTCTCCTTTGCTTTCTAGCAAGAATGGAAAGCAAATGTTCAGTGTTTTAAAGGTGGCTTTTTAGGGTTAAAGAAAAGGCTTTTGGTTTACATTATATAATAACTCAATGGAAATCTTCTTATACAATCACATTGAATTCCTAGATATTCCTAGACACCCAATGCCATTTGCTGCAAAAAACATGTTTTATGATGAACGCTGGAAAGAGAAGCAGGAACAGGCTTTCACTTGGTGGCTAAATTTCATACTCACTCCTGATGACTTCACAGTGAAAACAAACATTTCTGAAGGTAAGTGTCAAATTAATGTTTAGAGGGGCCGGGGAGATGGCTCAGTGGGATAAGCACTTCCCTGGCAACCACAAGGGCCTGAGTTCAATCCCCGGTTCCACCAAAATAAATAAATAAATAAAATAAATTAATGTTTAGATTCAATAATGTTCTAAGGTCAAAATTTGAACATCTGTCATTATTTCATTGTACCTACTCTATTAAGTTATAGCTAATGGCACATAGTTTTTCCTCACATAGATTTTCTATACTAAAATGTAGTTTTCACTATTTATAAATTTACTATTTACTTTCTACTTCCCATTCTCTCTTAGCCATGGAATCAATCCTTATGGCCAGGCATTTGGGGTATATTACATCCACTGCCAAATACCTTAATGAAGAATTATGTAGGAAAGCTTCAGGATTATGGGGAACCTGAAAATCAATTCATATGAGGAATTTTACAACATTTCATTCTTCTTTTCTTGGGGAGGGGGAGCATTAACCAGGAATCAAACTCAGAACCTTATGCTTGCCAGGCTAGTGCTATGCTGCTGAGCTATATCACCTGCCCAACACTTCATTATTTATTCTGGATGAGAAGACTTGGCTATGGGACAAAGTAGAAACATGGTACCTTTCACACATATGAGTTTTGTCTGAAAGAAAAAGGGACTTTTGTACTGCTTTTTTAAGTTGTAGGCATCAGTTTCAGCTCAAAGTGAGGGAACACAGGAACATTTGAATTGTCAAACTGGCAGGTAGACTATTGCCAAATGGTGATCTTTAGTGATGCAGGCTTTACTTATGCTTTTTTTGATCTGGGTCTCACTATGTAGTTCAGGCTGGCCTTGTGCTTACTGTGTAGCCCAGGTTCCCTCGCTTCTGCTGTGATCTTCCTGCCTCAGCCTTCCAAGGGCTGGGATTACATGCACGTGCCACCGCACCCAGCCATTGTTGCAGTGTTAAAACAGTGGTTTATATTTCTCAGAGAAATATAAGGGAAATAGGGGAATGAGCTTTTGTTCTCTTAAGAAAAAGTACTTAACAGATTTTTGTTCTCTTAAGAAAATTTTTGCTCTCTTAAGAGAATGTTTAACAAAAGTTCACATTCCTTTTGAAATTAAATTTGTATTTAAAAAAGGTCAGATTTTTTAGATAAATTTATTAAGGGAATAGAGACAGAATCTAGTTACACATAAACCATTTTCTGCTTCTTCTTTTTTTTTTTTTTTTTTTTTTTTTGAGACAGAGTGTTGTGTAGTCCAGGCTGGCTTTGAACTCATGATGTAGCCCAGGATGGCCTCAAACTTGTGGTGGTTCTCCTGCCTCAGCCTTCCAAGTGCTGGGGTTACAGGTGTGCACCCCCATGCTCAGTGAGAAACCGTTTTTTTAGTCTCTCAGATGCCGAGGTGAAGAGATGCTTGAGTTTGTAGTAAGAACTAGTTAGATTTGGGGTGTTTTCTGCAGGCAGAGCGGGTGGGTTGTGATGAGCATTGGCCAGATGTCCTTGGTGAATGGTGACACTTGTATTTGGAGATTCAAAAGTGAGATGAAAAACTTGGAAAGAGTGGGGAATACATTCTGTTTGGGCTTTCTTTTTTTAAATTTTTTATTTTTATCAGCACATGGTTGTAGTGCATAACCTCGCATTCTTCATGGGGAAGTGGTGCGTGCATGTACCAATCTCTGTTTTGTTTCATCCCCTTCCTCTCCTTTCTGCCTCTATCAAAAAAATTTGTTTTTCTATTTTTGTATTTTACTGCTGGATTTAGGAATGCGTAGAGATGTTATTTAACCAGAAACATTTGTCCTGTTTCCTCCCCAGTAAATATTGCAACTGTGCCTTTGGGAATGGAGAATCAACATAAAATAAGTGTTCCTAGAGCACCTACAAAAGACGAAATGTCTCTCAGAGCTTATACTGCTCGGTGCAGGTTGAACAGATTACGTCGCGCAGCATGCCATTTATTTACTTCTGAAAAAATGGTTAAAGCTATTAAAAAGCTAGAAATTGAAATTGAAGCTAAGCGGTTAATTGTCCGAAAAGATAGACACCTTTGGAAAGATGTTGGTAAGAATCTTATAAAAGTATTGAAATTATTTCCTTAAAAACACTTTGTCGGTTCCCTTCCTTTCTCCCTCTGTCCCTACCTCCCTTCCTTCTTTCCCTACTACTGGGGATTGAATTTAGAGAGCACCAAGTTACAAATTTTTGATTTTGAGGCAGGGTCTAAATTGTCTGTTCTGGCCTCCAACTTGGAGTCCTGTCTCCTTTTATCCAGTAAACTCTAGAGATTTTGTGTTTCTTCCCCATGTACCCTGCTTTATTGAGATATAATTGAGGAATAAAAATTGTATGTATTTGACATGGGCAACGTTTTGATATGTGCTTGTCTTATGAGCGATGACCATGGTGAAGCTAATAAACATATTTATCTGTGTGTGTATGTGTGTGTGTGTGCGCTCATGTGTGTGCATTTTTTGTCCATTCCCCTGTTGAAGGACACTTGAGACTACCTCCATAGTTGCATATTATAAGTCATACTGCAGTGAACATGAAAATGCAGTTATCCCTTCCACACGCTCATGTTGTTACCTTTGTGCTTATAGCCAAGCCTGTGTATTTCAAATGTACTTTAGCTTTCATGCCAAAACGCACATTCGTAGGTATGATTATGTCTACTTAAGAATAGAAATAGTTTTCATTTAACTTACTTCATATAAGTGATTTGTTTCACTGATATTATCTCCATTAAATATTGTTTTTGTTTTGTACTTGAGATCAAGTGTTGAACTTGCTACATCATATAGCCCAGTCTGACCTCAAACTAATGATCCTACTACTTCAGCCACCTGAGTGCTGGGATTAGAGAAATGAGCTCCAATCTCAAGCTTTCCATGAGGGTTTTCTTATTGTTTCTTAAGTTAGAGTTCTGAATTTAACTTTCCTTTGACCTGCATTTCAGGAGAACGCCAGAAGGTATTGAATTGGTTGTTGTCATATAATCCTTTGTGGCTTCGAATTGGCCTAGAGGTAAATCTGTTTCGGATTTTAAAAGCTATTTATAGTGTTCTTTTTAATGATATTTAGAATAGACTCTTTAATTATTTTCATTTATAAAAGTTACAGTCATTTGATTAGCTAGATTTTATCACTGAGTATAAAATGTAAGGTCATTCATTTAATGCTTGTTAGGTAACTAGACCGTGCCATTACATCTTGGCATATTGTCACTTAAATAGTCATAATCGGGTACTGGATGTAATGAGAACTCTAGTGAAATCATTTTAAACATTTACAAATAAGGACTGAGTCATTTTAAATACTTTGAATTTGTTTGAAAATCAGTGACGTATGTATTACTTTCACTTCATCTGCTAAAGTTTAGATGTGTAATGGCTTCAAAAGACAATAATCGTTCAGGCTTTGAACATACACCAGTCTGATGGCAAAGCATAAATTTCTAGTCTTTTGATGGAATACTCGTCATAGAAATGTCATTTAGGGCTGGGAATAGATATAGTTCAGTAACATTAAGCGCCTGCTTGGCAAACGCAAGGTCCCAAGTTTGAACCCTGGTAATGCAAAAAAAAAGTCATCTAAATTTGAGTTATTTACTAGTTAACTCAATAGTATATCAAAATATAAAACTAATGGAATTAGTGACACTAGTGCTAGTAGTTGTTCACAAGTTTACTTTTATAAAATGGTGTCTTCTGCGCTTCCTTTTTAATCTTTTGCTAATATTTTAATAATTTTTTGTAGGTTTCTTCCATAAAGTACTTTATTCCATATATTAAAATAGAGGAATTTTGATGGCTAACAGGAGTTTGCTGGAATGATCTAGCTTCTTTGTACCATTAGCTTGGGCATCAAAGAGAAGAAGTTTACTATGATTGTGTCATTGCTAAAATTTATTTTAGTTCCTTTACCTTCCATTAGTTGACAAATTACATTTGAGCTGGCTGTGCTCTACATGTCAGATAATTATGGATCCTCAAATGATGTAAAGGCTCCTAATATTTGGGATATTTTGCAGCAAAGGTAGAAACTTGCAAAGGGTTTTATAACTTTTGCTTAGATGTATTTTTTTTGTTAAGTTCACCCATATTCTATTGTACAGAGCACATTGATGAAGCCCAAACTAGGTGGGAGACATATTACCCACTTAAAGGAGACACAGTCAGTGGTTGTGGTAGTGTTGTAAATCCTTTTTATAGGGAACACAGAAGTCAGTAATTGTGAACAGTAAAGCCTCTGTCTTAGATTCATACTCTAGGATTCTATAAATAGACATGACCTTTGAAAATTTTGAAAAAGCCATAAAGATGAAACAAATATATAAA